CGTCGGGAGCAAGAGGCTCGGCCGTAACGGCATCGAGGGCTTGGAAACTTTTCCTGCTGACACCGCGTATGATGCTAGCGCGCACGCCGCAGCAAGGTTCGCAGGGGCGCGCCGAACTGCTAAGCAGGGCAGCTAAGTTCCAGCGAGGCGAGTGGCCACAGCTGCTTCGGTCTGCCCGCCAAGCTGCCCAGCAGCCGACGTCCCGGAACGAGCCGCAGCGGGATGGCGCCGGCGAACGTGAGCGCCGACGCGCCTGTGCCAAGGTGCGCCAAGGGGAAGTGTTCTGAGCACGCCAAGTCCTCGCGGCTGCCGAAATAGCACCCGGCACGGAAGCCACCACGTCGACCTCCCGAGCTGCGCCGCGAAATCCCGGAAGAGGTCCTGCAACACCAGCCCCAGCAACCGATCAGGTTGGCAACTGGAGCAGTGGCATCTGCGCTCCGGGAAACACATCGAGGTGGCGCAGCCGGCCTGTCGGGCATGAGAGCCGAGCACCTCAAACTGTTGTTGCAGGACGTGGAGGCCATGGAGTTGCTCGCGGAAGCTGCGTCCCAGTTGGCCAGCGCCGACGTCCCACCTGACATCGCCACGGGGATCGCCGCAGCCCGCTTGACGGCGCTCAGCAAGCCTGACGGGGGCGTTCGTGGCATCGCGACCGGCGACGCTTTCCGCCGCCTGGTGTCGCGAACATTGGCCAAGGGTTGGGCGGCCACCTTCGACCAGGCCACGCGCCCCTACCAGTACGCCTTGCAGGCGCGCGTTGGTACGGATGCCTTGGCCGCCCATGTCAGGGCCGCTCTGGACATGCGCCCCGAAGCAGTCGTGGTTTCCCTGGATGGTCGCAGCGCATACGACTGCATGTCCCGCGCGGCCTTTCTTTCCAAGCTGCACGAGGTTGCGCCAGAGCTACTCCCCTATGCTCGCATGTTCTACGGCCAGCCGTCCACGTATTGCTGGTGGGACAACGAAAGGCACCGCCACGACGTGCGCCAAGGCGAGGGCTGCGAACAAGGCGATGCCTTGGCCCCCGCCCTATACGCGCCGGGACAGCATGATGCGCTGCAACGGGCTGCCCGGGCGCTTCACCCGGCCGACAGTCTCATGGCCTTCCTTGACGACCTGTACGTCATCACTGTGCCGGACCGCGCCAGAGAGGCACTTGATGGAACCGTGCGGGCCGTAGAGGAAAATTGCGGCATCGCATCCAACCTCGGCAAGACGCGGGTGTTTGGACAAGAGGGCCCGCCCCCGCCAGGCATAGAAACGTTATGCCAAGACGTGTGGCGGGGCGACAAACCGCCGCACCAAAGAGGCGCCGTGGTTCTGGGCTCGCCCATCGGGCACCCGGAATACGTCCGGGCACGGGCCGAAGCGCGCTTGCACGAGGAACAACAACTGCTCCAAGAGCTGCCGCAACTCCCCGATTTGCAGTGTGCCTGGCTGCTGCTGACGCTCTGCGCCTCACCACGGGCGAATCATGCCATTCGCACCGTGCCGCCCACGCAGGTGGCCTCCTACGCGGCCCAGCATGACCAAGCCAGCTCGTGCAGAAGTTTTAGCTGAATTTTTCGCGGAAAAGCAGTGGTGCCCAAGAAACATCACCCCTCCCAACTTTCAAGATACTTTGGGGACAACCTTGGAAGTGGATGATGGACACATTACGGGCGCGGAAATTATTGCTCCACGGTGCAGCCGACGTCGACGGGCAGCCGCCCGAGCTTAGCGACCTCCTGCACGCGGATCGTCACTCTGATGTGCCTTTGCCCAGCCGCCTCCCCGCGCACAGCTAGCTGCAGCTAGCCAGCCGGCGGCCCGCGCGTCCAAGCTTGCCTTGCCCGCCTTGGATTTCTGTGGACTGCCTTGGACTCCCTTGTGTGGCCCTGGACTTGCCAATTTGATCGGTCGCACTGCACGTTAGCTTTGATTACAGCCGTCAATTGTTTTTCGGCAACTGCATCACCTTGTTGCCTCGCAACCAATCGATCCTTAATCAACTGCAGCGTGGATATACTAATCCACGGTTTTTTTGGTTTACAATCAAGCGGTGACTGGCAAGCATGTGCAACTTCATGAAATGCTGCGGATTGCTGCGGTCATGCGATCACAAAGGTTGTTGGCTGATTCGCAATCACAGTCAACAGTCTCAGCTTGTGACATGTGTTGTTCAAACAGAGCCGAAAAATGATTGCACTTCTCAAAAGATTTCAGCGGCGTCAAATCATAGGTAGGTTTCCACAACCAACGTTGAGTGTTCTGCACTTGCACCTGCAACTTGGCTGTGACCAAGAAATGATGCGATGCAAGCGGATATTGCTGGTTTGCACAAACATCCTCAACCAAGCTCACGGCATTCTGCGAGATCAACATGAAATCAATTTGACCAAAATTGTCTGGAATCACATCGCTGTGTGGAGTCGCTCCCACGTTGTAACAAGTAGCTTGCTCATGAGGCGGGTGATGGAAAAACGTATTGGCGATTGCCAGCTGATGGCTTTGACACACTTCAAGCAAAAGGCTGCGATTGGAGCTCACGTCTGGCTGTGCACCGACCTTCCCGAACACATACGGGCCCACCAAATCAGGATCGGAATCAAAACGCTTGTGTAGACGCGCATTAAAATCCCCCAATAATCCCCCTTGCTTGTAGGTGCTAGGGTTACATGGCCACTTAAATGGCTTCATGTGGCACTGAAATGGGTTCATGTGGGGTCTGAAATGGGTCCATGTGACAGTCGTAGGATACCTCAAAAATGCACCCCATTTCAGTGGCGGACCTTTGCGGGCCGACAGTCGGACCTGTGACTTTCCTAGGCTTTGCCACGTGCATCCCATGCCTGATAGGACCCTTTTCTTCATGTTTTCTCATGTGTACCTTGGCTTACGAAAGTTTCCTTGCGGTTGTTGCGGCGTATAAAATCACTGTATAGAACAGGCAGCGCTTCGGACTGTTTGGGAGATGTTGTACAAGGACTCCAAGAAGATGAGAATCCTGAAATCGGACCTAGCTGTCCAGCTGCTCCTCCCATTTGGCATGCTAAGTTATGCTGCTGTTCCACTGCAGCCTTCTGGATGCTGAGTTTCGGATTGACCAATACGGTACGAATGTAGTGTAATGTAACTTGGGCCCATTCTAGCAGCACAGTTCGGGCCTCAGTAGCCAACACACAGATGTGACGTGGTCAACCTGTAGCCCCTGGTTGGCTGGCTGGCTGGTTGGCTGGCTGGCTGGCTGGCTGGCTGGCTGTGGAGGCAGTGCACCCACGCCGGCCCTGGCCGTGTACCGCGTCTAGGGGCTACCCTAGCACTACAGCTGGGACCCCGTAGCCAAACACGCATACGATATTTTCAATTTTTCATTTTCCTTCGTAGTTGCGGGCCGTACCCAGCTTATAAAGCTCCATTCGAGTAACAAAGCCGCAGTCTCACTACGGGCCACAACCAACATACAACATCGACTGAAAACCATCATAACAGAGAGTAGAACATGACAACTGGTAGTGGAAGTAATAACAATGACACCAATAATACCAGCTTGTGGTGGTATGAAATGCTAGCATTATTACCACTTTTTACAAATGAGTATTATTCGTATTTAGGGCTATTCGTTATTGCTATTGTTTAATCTATTCTTTTTCACACAAAACATAATGTTAGACAGTAGTAATCGTAGCAACGCATAAAAATTGCAACACACAGTGGTTCCTGAGCAGGAATGACAAATGACATGGATAGTTATAAGACATAGCAATTATGAACAATACTATCCACATGCAATGAATGATATCAGGAAATAATAGTGAGCAGCATTATACATAAACACAAGCAAGAAATAACATTAAAAAAGACTATTAAGAACAACTACTATGGACAGATAGAAAGAGTAGCAATGAATACAACGAAGTACTCCTATTAACAGAACAATACTAATACTAGCACAAAAAGCGTATCATAAATATGCCACCGGGTGCTATGACTGCGTGATCCCCGGGGTTGTGCCCTTGCAGACTAAGACGACATATTGTCAGGTAATAATAAGCACAACAAGTATAACAGCACGATGTGGTAGAATTCCTTCTTTATGTAAGTAATACTCTCTGTTGCTAGTTATTATTATGTGTTACTTTGTATTGCTATTCGTTCTTGTTAGTAATTATTCGCATTATTTATGTGCACAAGACATAATGATACAGTGCTCATAGTAGCAACGCACAATAACAACAACAGCAGCAACAACAATAACAACAAACCGTGATCACGCATAGTAATAACAAATGAAACGGAACATGATAAGACATGGCAATGATTCACTAAATGAATCACAATGAATACTAACAGGAAATAGTCGCAGTGAACAATATTAATGAACATAAATATCAGCAACGACCAGTAATAGTAACGCACCTTAATAAGATGGTACGGACTGTGATCGAAAATAGCAATGAACACAACGAAGTCCAGGTGCTGTGACTGCGTGATCCCCCGGGGCTGCGCTCTTGCAGACTAATACTAGCAAGCAGTGACAAAACCAGACAATAATAGATATGAAAAACAGAATTAGAGCATTAGTCAATAGTAGGGCACAAGGTGGTAACATTTATGCTTTGCATAGCAGTACTTACTACTAGTTGGTAATATTATGTGTTATGTTTTGTTATTATTTCTTGTTAGCATTTATTCGCGGATTTTATGAACACAAGACATACTGATGATTATGCAGTACTCAAATTAGTAAGGCATAAAAACAACAGCAGCAGCAACAACAACAGTAACAACAAATCCTGATAACTCCTAGTAACAACATTTCAAACGGATACTGAGAAGACATAGTAATGATGAACAAGGCTGATAACAATGAATGGCAAACGGACATAAGCATGATGAACAATCTTAATCGGCATAAATACAAAAAAAGACCAGCGACAACAACGCACATTAATAAGAGATAGTATTGTGATACAGAATACCAATGCATACAACGAAGTACTCCAACTAGCAATAAAAAATGTTAAGACCACAAGGAACATATCAAGAATGCATAGCTATGCTAAGCTATGCCATCCAAGCTCATGCTTTAATTAAAGGTGG